ATAAATCTCACGGCACCAAGGCCTCCTGGGATTTCCACCCTTTCCAGATGGACACAATTTTCCAGTAAACAGAATTTTATTCTGCAAACAGACTAAGCTGCTTGTAAGTTCCTGGACACATTTTGCTGTTTCATGCCTGTGCACATTTTCTCTGTCTGTCTAAAGCCCTTTCTTCACTCCCTAGCCCATCTTTTCTGTGTCTAGTTTTCCAACTCGGTTTCTTTTCCTTCTTCTTTCTGTTCCTTTCTTCCTCCTCCTTGTGACAGCTAACATTTATTAACAACTTCCTGTGTCTAGGCTCTGTGCTCAATAAGACTTCCCACATTTAATCCTCACAGGAAGTTTCTGAATTCGATTCTATCATTCGTCCCACTTTTTATCTCTGAAGAGATGCTTGAGTAACTTAACTTGTCACTTAAGGCCACACAGTTACTAACTGTGATCTGGATCTGAACTCAGATCCTCTTGGCTCCACATGTTAATTACTCTCTTAATCACTGTGTGCTATCTCTTCCAGCAAAATTTCCCTGAAAATTTCCCTTGGCTGAGTGGGGTAGTGACTGGCTGGGATGTTCACCAGATCTGTGTCCTTTGCTCCCCAGGCCACAGCTTCACTGCTTTTTCCCCACCCTGAGTTAAGCAGGGAAACTGTGGCTAAATTCTGGTCAATGGACTGTGGGAGGAATGAAGGCATGTCACTTTCAGGGCTGGCCCCTAAAGTCTCTCAGGGGACCTTGCACACTCTCTCTCCTTTTGCAGAGAAATTGGAAACCCTAAAGATGGCAGTGCCATGAGACGGAAGCAGCCTAGGTTCCTGAATGACTAGGTGGAGCACAGCTTTTCCCTTTAAGCTGAGAGCAAGTGATGCTTTGTTTGGAAAGCTGCTAAGACTTCTAGGGTCCTCTGTTACAACTGTTAATGTCACTTTCCCTAACATGTGGTCTAGGTGCATGTCTAGCATTACTTTCACATTATATGGGAATTATCTCTTTATATATCTATCTCTTCCAGTACGTTACTTTGGAAATTTTTCTCTCTCTCTCTTTTTTTTTTTTTAGTTTTATTTTTTATTGACGTGTAGTTGATTTACAATGTTACAGGAAACATCTTCTGAAGGAGAGACACCTTTTCTGATCAATCTTTATGTTTGGCATATTAAGTGCACAATAAATATTTGTTGACCTAGAAAATATATCAATGGCTTACTAAATACTAACACTGATAATCAATATGCATTGAATGCTTACATGCAAAAGGCACATTATCAGACAGTTATATTCATTGCTTTATATAACTGCCTTAATTCACAAGTGTTAATTAAGAGCTTACCGTGTATTGATCTCTGAATGAGGCACTAGGGATACATTAGTGAACAAAACAAATAAAAACCCATGTTCCTGCATGACATAAATTGTACCTGGAGTAATCAGATAGTAAACAAATAAGAAAAGTTTGTAGAACGTCAGATGATGAAGGTGATTTGGAGAAATACGAAGTAGAGTAAGAAAAAGAGTTGGTGGGGGTTATGAGATGTTGGTTATCTTAAACAGGTGATAAGGGAAGACCTCCTGGAACTTATGACATTAGAGTAAGTACTGAAGTTTGAGAAGAAACAAGCAGTGGCTATCAGGAGGAAAAGCATTACAGGCAGAAGGAACAGCAAGTACACAAGCCTGGAGTAGGAATGTGCTCACAAAGGCTGAACCAGGTACGTACTATCTTTATTTTGCATAGAAGGAAACTGAACCCAGAAAATTTAAGTAACTTCTCCAAGAACTTATAATTTGTAAGTGGCGCATTCAGGGCTTAAACTGAAATCCTTTGGATTTAAAAGCCCACATTCATTTTGATACACTCCCTTGCCTGTAACTTTTACTAGTTACACTAAATGTGTACAAACACATGCACACGTGTATACACAACATTCTAAAAGAACCATTATGGCACATCCTGAAGAATGGCTTTCAGAATACCAATGTTTTCGATATGACTTCTTGTTCACTAGAGACTGGAAGGGTGAAGCTAGTGCTTCTGCACGTAGCCTCTCCTTCACTAAACAGATCATCTGCCAGACTTAGAGGTGGGCTTTGATGTAATGAAACTGCAGCTGTGGACTCTTCTGGAAGCTGGACGGTAGAGCTGGGTGTTCTGATTCCTCTGAGCTGCAGAAGGAAAGGCTCTCCTTCTGGGTCTGTCTCCAATTTGGTAGTGTTGAATGGCAGTGACAGCAGCTTCTTCATTTGGGGACTTTGCCAGTAGCAGCCAAGACCTTGCTGATCTTGAGTCACCTGTAGGAGCACTGGCTGCTTTTTTTTGCCAGATCAGCTTGGCAGTTTGCTTCTTGGAGTTTCCCCTGGAGGCTCAGACCACAGCCTCATTCTCCAGCCTTTCCCTTACTTTCCCATTTTAAATCCCTTTCTTTATAAATCAGCTATGGTAGATTCTGTTGTCTGCCACCAAACCCTGACTTGATAGAGTAACTGGCACAAAATATGGGGTGACCATGGCTCTGATCACTTAAGCCAGGGTCCCAGTTTGTTTTCAGTTGTGCAGATAGAGCTTGCTTATCTATTTTGGTCCCGTGATGTGAAGCCCTTGTCAGCCATAGTGTTCTGATTACCATCCTGACCTCGCTTCCTCTTACAGCAGACACGCCCACTTTAGCCTCTGCTGCGCTGAACTCCATCGTAATCAGGAAACTCATTGCAGAAGGAGGACCTTCACTTTTGCGTATTTCTATTATGCTTTTCAAAGATGCTTGGACTTCTGTCATTAATGTAATTTTCAATGCTCCATGTGGAAAGAGGTGTCCGCTGGGACCTCCTGGGAGATATAGTTAGGGTGAATGTGAATGAGTCATATGTGATAAATCTACTTCAACAATATAATTTGTATTAATCTTTGAATCCTTCTACTACATTATATCAGTGAATTGTTGTGGTCACAACTTCATTTAGCCCGGACCGCTGTTGTGTAGGTTTTGATCTACCAAGAGAGCGACCGATTAGGACCTCTCCCAGCTGCTTGTGTTCCTATGTTGAATTCAGAATCTCCACCAAATGAAATCAGTTAACTTAGCTCCAAACCAAATTATCTTCCTACCGACCTGGTCTACCATCCTAAGTAAACTATCCAGTCCAGGGTTTTGCTATTATAAATGTATAATTTTAAAAAATTCTCTTAACATGTAATCCTTCCTTTTCTGGGTTTTATGGTGTAATTGGCCCTGAGCAAGGGAGAGGTCTTCAGCTGGTCTAGGCTAGAGCGCTATCAGCTCCATCCTTGGTTTTTATGACCCAGTCTACCCAAAGGGCCCAAAAATGTGGTGGCTGGTTAGGATGTTGTGTGGGGCTGTAGTGAGCCTTGACAAGAGAGTCACAGTGCATGACCCTAGGTTTTGCAGTAAACCTATGCCCTCTTTAAGTAACTACCATCTTTATGCAAAAACTCTTGGGGAAGCGTTGGTCAGGTAGTCACCGAACACTTGAACACGACACACCAGAGCCCTGAGCTGTTTGTCATTAGCTGGAAGTTGTCTGAGCCACTAAACTCATACATGTCCAGGATCATCCCATCAATGAGTGACAGTGATTAAGAAGATCTGGCACCTGAAGGTGCGTATAAGTTGAGTAAACAATCACTGGCTTGTATGCTGCTCTTTGACTTCTCTCTCAACCGACAACTGGAGCCTGGTGGTGAGTTTCCTCTGATCAGCTGACAGAGGAGGACAAAAGTCTATTGTGGTTTAAACATGCCAGCATCAGCTGGAGGTGACCGTTGTATCACTGAAGCCTCACTCTGGCGAGCCCTTGAAGGCTTGTGAATCAGAGTGCTGCCAGTAGCAGAACTTTTGGTGGCACATCTAACGGTCCACTTTGCCTGGACGATGAGATATCCAGAGATGGGGGCCTACTCTGATTCAGGAGCAGGGGCCATAGGGCCTGGGGGTTGGAAAGAACAAAACTGGAAGATTAGGGAAAAGTTACATGGGCGGACCTCTCTGATTGAACTGAGGGACATGATAGCTTGCCCTACTGAATATCAGTCGGCTCTTTCCCCAGCTACCCAACTGACTGCTCTAAAGGTTCATGTAAAAAGCAGCATTGGTGGGAGAGGCAGAGCTTAAGTATGGACTCAGTTATATGAGCATTTGCTCACTGCCACGACCAGTCTGGCCACTCTTACGTGCCCGACCTGACAGACACAGCGGCCAGACCTGAGTCTGATGAAGTGCCAGATCCTTGGGGGGCCAACTTGCTACATGGTAGTAGATTGTTCACGTTGGATCCCTTCCGTTCTGGAGAGAGCAGCTGTTTTGCTCAATGAAATAGGTCGTTCAATCATTCAAAAGGATCCGTTAAGCACCTACAATGTGCCAGCCACAGTTCTTGGTGCTTGGGGGTATATCAGCGAATAAAAAAGACAAACGTTGTTGCCCTTAACTTACTTTCTAGAGGGCTGACATACAATAAGCATAATAAATAGGTAAATTTTAGAGTATATGTTACCGTGATAAGTGCTATGGAGAAAAAGAAAAGTAAATCAGAGTAAGGGAGAGTGAGAGGGCTGGAGATGGGGGAAAGGAATTTTCAAATTTATGTGATTCATGGTAGGCGTGGATGGATATCCAGAAGGAAGAGCATTTTAAGCAAAGGGAACAGACAATGCAAAGGCCTTCAGTGGGCATTTGCCTGGTGTGTGCAGAGCACTCACAGCTCAGTGATGAGGGGAGGCAATGGGAGGGAAGACCTGGCAGCACACTTACGGGCTTGGCTTTGACTGTGAGGGAGATGAGAATTCACTGCAAGGTGTTGAGCACCACGAGCACAGCGCTGAGGATGGGCTGTAGGGAGAAAAGAGACAAAAAGGGAGACAGGAATCCACAGCCGTAATAAAGTGAGAGGTGCCTCACACGAGGGCGGAAACACTGGTGGTGACGAAATGAGGTGCTATTCTGGAAATAGAGATTTTTAACTTTTTATTGTAGAAAATTTAAAACACACAAAAGCAGAGATTAGTATAAGCTGTCCTTCCTCCCACAAGGTACCTGTCACCCGGTTCAGAAATGGTGCTCACATGACCAGTCTCCTTTCATCTGTACCGCTACCCACTTCCTACCCACCCTCCCCTCCTTAGATTGTTTCAAACAAAATCATAACATTTAATCTACAAATACTTCAGTATGAGGTAAAAGATGAATGCTCCTTTATAACCACAATATTATCATTTATATCCAAAACACATAACATTCTTCAAACGCAGAACTTATCCAAACACAATTTCTTCAAATTAATGCACAAGTTTCCTTTAGTAGCTCATAAGCAATTTATTTTTAACTTGGTTTGTTTGAGTCAAGGCCCACTCATTCCTTTTGACTGATGTATCTCAAGTCGCATTTAATTTGTAGACCTTCCTTCCCTCTTTCAGTTTCTTTCCTTCTTTTTGTCATTTATTTTTGGGAGAAACCAGGTCATTTGCCCTGTAGAGTTTTCCTGCAGTTTAGATTTTTCTGACTGCAATCCCGTGGTGCTGTTTAGCGCAGTGCTTGATCCCATGTACTCCGAAAACTGGTGGTTAGGTCTAGAGACTTGAGTGGATTCAGCTTTGATGTTTCGGGCGTAAGAACTTTGTAGGTGGTATCGGTCACTCCTATCAGGAGGCACAGAATGTTAGGCTGGCTTTTGTATATTAACTTAATCAGTAGCTGTAGCATGAAACATTCACACAGAATAGTCATTTTCTATTTCTTTCAGTCCTTCTTCGTTTATTGGAGGAATTATTCTAACATTACCTATTTGATGACTCAAAGATACAGCTCCTACAAGAAAGTGAGCTCCATATCCTTTGAGTAGGAAATAGTATTTAGAAACTACAACATGTGTAATGAGTTATTGGGTTGGTAATTATTTCTAGACTTTCCAGTGGACAGACCTAGGAAATAACGTTTTTTTAAAAAAGGTAGGATTTGCCATCAGTGTTTGCTGATATTTCCTGTTCAGATTTAGGCTTTCAGGGTTGTTAATTAGCTTTTTGATTTTGTATTTGTATTTTTTTTCTCTGATGTTAAAAAGTTTTGTCCTTAATGACATTAACATAATTACTTTCTGCTTTTGGAAGCTCAGCCTAGAGCCTGCTTCTCCAGCTCTCCTAATGGTTTTTCAAAGTGGTTAATATAAACTGTTACATTCCTTTATCTGTAAACCATTTGGAATGGATTCTTTGGTCTGCAACTGAATCTTGACAATGTAAACAGTGTAAGCAGAAGGGACGAAGCTATGAATTGTCTGTGAAGCACACGTGTAGCCACTCATAGTGAAACCAATTGATGCAGATGATTCCCCAGTGGGAGAATCGTTGAAGATGCATTGAACAGAGACCTGAGTCACTCAGTCTTTTCCGTCTCGTGCAAGTCCCAATTCACCAAAATTTGTGCTTCTGTTTTCCAACATCAGTCCTTCTCCTTCCTTATTCCTTTTCCCTAAATCAGAACCTAGGAAACACATTAAGTCAGGCTCACAGCAGGCATACAGGCTCTTCTCTTGACCACGGATCCTGGTCATTTTAGCGAAGACCTTGGAGGGCCTTCCCATCACCACCTCAGAGTGAATGAATTAAAAGTCCTGGGAGTGAATGGGCAGGAAGAACTGGAAAGCTAGAACTAGCTGATCACTCCAGAAACCTTGAGGACTTCACTGAGCCGGGGGCTTTGGGTCAGGGACAAGGCACACGAGTGGGACACCCGCATAACTTTCCATGGCATCTTCATCTTCAGAGCTGACATTTCCAGCTGAATCATCTCAGAGCTGTGCCTTCACCACAGAGTAAACAGTCGAGGCATGCTGGGGTGGGAAAAAGATAGAAGAAGATCTGGAAAGTGAGGGAGTATGGGGCTATAGGTATTAGCCGGGGAGAAAATAGTCAGGAGATTAAACTCACCTTATTCTCTACAGATGTTCTGGAGGTACTGGCTGTGGAAGAAAAGGAAACCGCCAAACTATGAGTATTTGGATCCAGTCAGAACCCAGTCTTCTAGCTTATTCCCCAGGGTCTGAGAGCCACGGGACTTTTCCATTGATTATCATGTTTTTTTCCACCCTGCCCCAACGTATCTAACAATACATGTAATTTTGTTTTACCATTTCTTAACCCAGCCCTCTGGACATTCTTTTCAAGCTCCATTGATCTATAAAGTCCTCCCCTCAATACGACACCAAGAAACTTCACTCTCTTCCTTTACCAGATGTTAAGAAATAAATTCTCTCTTAGTTTCAATTCTTGCCTCTCTTAACGTATAGCACCTCCTCCATCTCTCCCCAAATTCAAAGTCCATCTCTCAGTTGTTCTGCAAGTTCCCACTAGAGCTCTTCACACGTATGCCCTGTGAGGGAAACTTCCCTGCGTTAGCAAGTTCTAGCTCTTGATTTTATTGCTTAAATTTCTTAGAGATGGAGAGATGGAGCCACAGGAGAGAGAAGTTAAGCAGGTGTGATTTATCTCATACCGTGTATTAGAAATTAAAAATTTCAGAGAAGGAGGTAAAATAATGAGGGCTATATAGAAATTTTACTGAGAGATAGAGCCTGGGGAAAAGAAAAAGATACATCCTGGTACACTCAAGATTTCTCTCTTTTTCACCACATTTTTACCATAGATCTTTTGGGGTTACAGATCTTTTAAATGACCTGATAGAAGCTATGTACCCTCTCCCCCAAAACAATAGTCATATGCATAGAACTTTGCATACAATTTCAGGGGCTTTATGCAAACTTTGAGGCACTGGTGAAGAAATCTTGCTACAGATCATCAGTACATAAAGAGCCTAAAATGTAACTAGTCCGCCAACTGAGTGCTCAGCTTCAGTGGTATTTTGACAAATATGTCAAGGGCAGAGTGTGAAGAGCAGCAGCTGATCAAGGTGACTCCATAAGAAGCACCCAATTAACCCAAGCAAATTGGTGACAGTTCTAATTCTATCACTCAGAAGGTCCTGATGAGTGGGGATGGCTGAGAAATCAAAGTGACAGACAAAGCAGGTGTTCAGATGATACGCGTTAGTCAAATATAGCAGTCGGCACTGTAAGCAGCAAGTCTCTTACTAGCTTTGTGACCTTGTAAAAGCCCTTCACCTCATTTGTAAAATAAGTTCAGGATCAGGTTACAATTGAAGTTTCTACTAGGCACAAAGATACTGGGGAGGAGCTATATTTCTGTTCCCAAGGACAGATGTGGTTCATGTGGGAGACAGAACAAATAGGCATGTGGTCGTCTTGGGTCCTGTTCAGTAGGGTCTACAGGTTCCAAGGGACTCCAGCAGCAGGAAGCTGAGTGTGACTGACTGGAGGTGAGGCCACTGATGGAGTCACAACTCCTGGAATTAGAAATGTGTCAGCTGTGCCAAAGGAGCTTTAGAAAGGAGGGATCCAGCAGGAAACCTCGAGAGACCATACATGGACCTCACAGGGGAGAGTGCCCGCTTGAGCACCTGCCATCCCAGGGAGGCGGAGCCAGCTTCTAAGATACCAGGTGGAGTAACTCCTTTCCCTAGAAACCTCCAGGCTAGTTAGAAACAGCCAATTAAAGAAAGAGAGAAGAAGCCAGTTGTACCCTGTCCTCCCTTTCTCCCTTTCATCCCTACCATTGCCAGCTTCCATTCTGAAATTTGCCTGGAGTAGTCGAGGGGAAAGTTTTAATTAACATCTTCAAACTAGGTATTCTAGTTACTAAATTGAGATTGTGACATAAGGCATCCACCTATCCAGCTACTGTCTATTACCTAAGAGAAAGCAGAGTATGTTGAAAAGCCTTTGGCTACCAGAATTTTCATCATAAGTGCCCAGAAAGATCTGCAGAATAAAGTTTAAAGAGACAGTGGGGGTGGGGGTGGGGTAATAGCTCAGTGGTAGAGCACGTGCTTAGCATGCATGAGGTCTTGGTTTCAATCCCCAGTACCTCCATTTAAAAAAGAGAGAGAGAAAAAGCAAAAGGATAGAAAATTTTTGCAATTAAGTTACAAGTCTTGCTTGTTCAGTGTATTGGTTACATAGGGTTGTTATACGGATTAAGTAAACATATATATACATATGTGTATATATATATATTTATGACATAGTAAGTGCTTTGTAATGACTGATTCATTACTTAACGGGAGCCTTTGCATACACACCTTCACAATTACAATATCTATTAGAATGATGTTTAATTTCTGTTCTGATCATCAGCAAAGATATGTACTTTCCAGTGTCTGTCTTCTCTCCTTAGAATCTAAGCACCACACTGCAGAGATTTTTATCTTCCTTGTCACTGGTTCACTCTTTTAGATGCACTTAAAACAGTATCACATAAGAGGTGCTCGATAAATAAGAGCTGAATGAATCGATATAGTTTGCAACCAGAATCTCTCCCCAGTGACTTACCTGCTCCTTCTTCTCCCGGCTGAACAATCTGGATCTCAGAATACACCAAGTCTCTTTCTCTGAGGTGCACTGAGAAGAAAAAATAATGCTTTCTAAGCTGCCCCAGTCAGTGCAATGTGCTTCAGATGCTTCTTCCTAAGCAATCCTCTATTGTGAGTGTCTGGGTTTGGAATACTTTAGGGAGACGAGGAGCCTTTGCCAGACCTCAAAACACAGTATATCTCCCTGCCTTGGGCAGGGAGCAACTTCCTACCGGGGAATCCTTACCGTTGTCGTACAACAGCTGCAGCCCCACTGGGGCGGGGCACACAGGATGGGGGTGCTCTCCGGGGCCTGGGCTGGCAGGGCTTCTGTGAGACACAGAAACACGTGATCACCCTTGGAACATTATCCTATGCACGAGAGTGGGATAGACAGAGTGGAGAAGGAACTGGGGGAGTCTGACATCGTAGGAACAATCATCTCATGGATAGAACGGTCACTTTCAACTGGTTAAAAAACCCAGCCTCATCTTCTGGAGGTAGTGTCCTCAAGTCATCCTGTCTGGACAATTCAAGAAGACATTAGACATAATATGTGCTCCAAGTCCCTGACTATAACCTACGACTGAGATGCTGACATAGAAGAATAAGACCATATTTTCCAAACCAAATTTAAAGACATAAAGTCTGATGAGTATATATGCACATGTGGGGCAAAAAGATTGCCAGAAACTGAGAATCCCTTAGAAAATCTAGATCTGATAGTCGTTTTATACATAGTTATAGTAACACATTGTCTAACTATAAGGACTGTTGGCACCAGAAATATCCCATGCTAACCTAGAAAACCTATAACCTTTGGTATCATCCATTTAGATGAACGGATAATTTTGAAATAAGAAACTGATCTAAATACATACAACATTTGTTATACAAACTATTAGAAAGGTTCCAGGAAACTATAATTGTGGCCATTTCAAGCAATGTGAAAACGGGAGCACCTAGCCACAGGGACATAGAGAAATTACTTGGCCTAATTTTGCAGCCCCACAGTTCATCATATTTTATTCTTGGGGAACCAGAAGGCTGAGGCCTCACCTGGTTGTGTCTCCCAGAAAACCATCTCCTGCAAAATAAAACAAAGGCAGATTTGTGTCAGCAGAGGGCGCTCGTTCACAAGTACTTCACACAGCTGTGCTGCCTAAGAGAGGTCATCAGAAAAGGTCAGTTCAAACATGGGCCCAGTTCCGGATTCTGATGAAAATGATGTGAAAAAGAACTTAACAAAGCAGATAAATTGCTGGGGACAGGGCTACACATTCCTGGGTTGAATATGCCATTATTTGAGACTTGACTTAAAGTTCAAGGCTGTGTGGATATACCTCAAGAAATACTGCCTTTCTTGCAGAGTGGTGAGGGGCTGTTGGTGGACTTTCAGGAGCACCTGGGGTTATGCCCAGAGGAACCTCAGGCTCCGATTCAAACCTGTTAAGGAGACTTACGGTCAGAGGTGCGAAGCTCCCTATATCCAGTCCAGTGGAGCGTGCACAGAAGGGACTCAGGAGGATATGGTGATTGAATTGAATTGAATTGAATTGAACTGAATTGAGTTGAGTTGAGTTGAGTTGAGTTGAATTAAGAGACAGAGTTGGAGGAGGTAAGTAATTATACTAGAACTGAAAGAGATTCTGTACCTGTCTTCTACCCCAGGTTTTCTGGCATCTGAAACTAGCCTGACCTGGACTAAGGCAGCAAGACTTTGGAAGCATGTGGCAGAGAAGGCTTGGGAGAACCCCCCCCCCAGGTAGACAGGGAGCCGGAAGCTGACCTGTGGAGAGCAGGACCACTGGAGCACAGGGTGGTGGGTTCAGGCTTTGACTCGAGGAAGTCCCTGAGGAAGAAAGACAGAGATTCGCCAGCTGCTATACTCAGTCATCTCTTCATGGGCCCTTCAGTTTATTTTGATTGTCCACTTATGGGGAACGTAGGATGGGCTGAAGTATCTAGCTGACCAGTCTGTTCGAACCAAAGAAACTACTCAAGGAACCTGTTTAAAAATTTTGAAACTTTACATTAAAATTTTTACTTCCTCCTTAACTTTCACTTGAGGCTTAGTAAAACAGACTAGATATTTGTTAAGGAAACTGCCATTTGAAGAATGGGTGTGAATGTGTCTGTAAGCACTGGGGTGGTGAGGTGGCGGGCGGTGGCGTGGCGGTGACTGGGGCTGCGGCAAGCTGAGGTATCTGGGGCAGAGACAGGGCGTGGATTCCAGCTAAGGGCAAGAGGGAATCCAAACCTGGTTTCCTCCGGTGCCAGCAGTAAAAGAGCAGGGCCACAGCCAGGAGAAGCGTGCTGAGTGTTCCCCCAGTGGCTCTTGCAGCAACAAGGCCTCCTCTGTTTCCGGGCATGCCTGGAGGGAGAAAGTCTGTGTGAGCCTCAGGGAGAGAGGTCTAGGGCCTGGAATTGCCATGAAGCCCTGGAACCTCTCCTCGGCGTGGCTGGGGTCCTGGGCCCTGGGAGAGGGAGGAATCTTAAAGTCTAGGATTCATGGGGACCTTGAGGACTAGGCTGGCTGGTGTGGCACAGGAAGCAGGCTTCTACTTGCAGGCAGCACAGCCCCGAGCCTGTGTGTGGCAGGAAGTGACTCACTGTGAAGTGGAGTCTGGGTGGGTTGTGGCGGAGGGGAGGAAAGGCAGCCAGCTCTCTGCAGTGACCCACTGACATCATTTCAGAAATTAACCTTTGGGGGGAAATCCATCCACCCATCATCTGTCTATCTATCTAGCCATCCCATATTCTTATAATCTGGCCTTTTAGACACTTCCTCCAGACATCTGGAAATATGTTATGGGGCAGGGGTTTGGCAGCACCTAACTTTGGAACATCAGCCCGCCTGAGAAAGAAAGTAAATATTAGCACTGATTAGGGCACTAGCTCAACCAGCAGTAATTCTGAGATTGCTCTCCATTAACAAAGTCTGTGTGGGGCACCACAAAGTACACCTAAATGATGTCAGTCTCCTTCCTCATAGAAGCCTGAGTCCTACATGCTTTGAAGGGAAAGAAACTGATGGAAGAAACAAACTAAATTGTTGGGGAATTCTGATTTTTCCATTGGATCCATTCTTCAAGACAAGAGTTTCCTTTTCACCACTCCTATTTAGCATAGTTGTAGAGGTCCTACCCAGAGCAATCAGGCAAAAGATAAATTAATAATAATAATAATAATAATAAGGCATCCAAATTGGAAAGGAAGAAGAAAAATTGTCTCTGATTGCAGATGACATGATCTTAAATAAAGAAAATCCTAAAGATTCCACACCAAAACCAACCAGCCAAACAAACAAAAAACTATTAGAGCTAATAAGCGAATTCAGGACAGTTGCAGGATACAAAATCAACATACAAAAATCAATCGTGTTTCTATACAGAACAATAAATTATCTGAAGAAGAAATAAAGAAAACAATTCTATTTTCAATAGCATTAAAGACAATAACATACTTCCTAAGAGATTGAAACAAGGAGCTAAAAGTTCTGTATATTGAAAACTGCAAGACAGTATTTTTCAAAATTGAAGAAGAAACAAATATATGAAAAGATATCCCATGTTTGTGGATTGAAAAATTAATGTTGTTAAAAGGTTCATACTATCCAAAGTCATCTACAGATTCAGCACAATCTCTATCAAGACTCCAATGGCATTTTTGAAGAAATTTTTTTTAAATCCCAAAATTTATATGAATGACAAAATACACCAAATAATCAACGCAATCCTGTGACAAAAGAACAAAGCTGGAGGCTTCACACACCCTGATTTCAACTATACAACAAAGCTAGAGTAACCAAAACAAATTGGTATCAGCATAAAAACAAATACCTAAACCAGCAGAACTGAATCAAGAGCCCAGACATAAACCCGTGCATATACCATCAACTAATATTTGGCAAGGGAGGCAAGAATACTCAATGGGGAAGATATCTCAGCAAATGGTGCTGGGAATATTCACATGCAAAAGAATGAAACTGGACCTCTATCTTACACCACTCACAGAAATTAACTTGAAATGCATTAAAGGCTTAAAGGTAAGACCCAAACCCATAAAACCCCTAGAAAAAAACATAGAGAAAAAGCTCATTGACCTTGGTCTTGGCAATGATTTTTTTGGATATGACACCATAAGCACAAGCAAAAGAGCAAAAATAAACAAGTAGTAGAACATTAAATTAAAAAGCTTCTGTACAGCAAAAGAAATAATCAGCAACATGAAAAGGCAATCTACAGAATGGGAGAAAATACATGGAAATCATATATCTGATAAGGGGTTAGTATCCAATAATATAAGGAAGTCATGCAACTCCATAGTGAAAAACTCAAATAATCTAATTTAAAAATGGATAAAGTATCTGAATAGACATTTTTACAAAGAAGATATGCAAAGGCCAACAGGTTCATGAAAAAGAGCTCAATATCACTGATCATCAGGGAAATGCAAATGAAAACCACAGTGAGGTGGCATCTCACACCTGTTACAATGGCTTTTATAAAGAAGACAGAAAATAACCAATGTTGGTGAGAAAGTGGAGAAAGGGAACCCTTGTGCACCATTGGTCCGAATGTAAATTGGTGCATCCACTATGGAAAACAGTATGTAGATTCCTTTATTTAATCTCCCTTGCCTCAGTTTTACCATCTGTATAATGGAGACAATGGCAGCTATAGTAGCACAATTATTAGTGGAGGAAACGAGTTAATGTATGTAAAGTGCTTTGAACAGTTTCTGACACATGATAAGTGCTATGTCTGTATAAGTGTTAGTTCTTATTTGTTTCCCCTACACTATGCCCTAGGCCCTCAGAAATATCATGCTACCTTCTGACCAGCTTAGGGGACCCCCCACCCCAACACGAGGCCTGCTTCCACACAACACCACCCCAGCCAACTTCAGCCCTTACTATGGACCAAATTGGGTTCCACCAAAATTCATGTGCTGAAGCAGCCCTAACCCCAATGTGATGGTTTTGGAGATGGGAACTTTGGGAGGTAGTCAGGTTTAGATGAGATCCTGAGAGTGGCCCCTCATGATGGGATTAGCATCCTTTTAAGAAGAGACGTCAGACAGCGGGCTCTCTCCCTCTCTCCCCTGACTATGTCACATGAAGACACAGCCAGAAGGCAGCTGTCTGCAAGACAAGAAGAGAGCTCCCATCAAAACCTGACCATACAGACATCCTGACCTTTGACCTGATCTCAGACTTCCGGCCTTCAGAACTATGAGAAATACATTTCTGTTGTTAGAGCCACCTGGCTATAGCAATGCAAGCTAAGAAAGACCACTTTAGCCTTGGTGCTCCGGGCCACAGTCAGAGTTTCTCTCCTGGTGGAAATTCTCCCATTTCTAAGCACAAGATTTTGCATAACATCCATGAATTAAGATTTAAGAAGAAATTCTTGTTCTGTCAAATATCAATGGAATCCTTGATATCTGCTTAACCTCTGAGATCCCATTTCCTGAGCAGATGATGACATCTGCCCTGCAGAGGAGTTTGTGAGAGAAAAATGAAATTCCATGTGTGAAGTAACTGGCTCACTGCCTGTATCAGAGGAGGCTAATTCATCCTAATGATCTCAACCTCCAAAAGGAAGATGAGAAATGTTACACTTAGTTGTGAATTACCAACAGATTCACAATTACTCTGTTCTTCAGCATGGCAACCTTTGGGGTCCCCAAGGTAAATTTTTAATACAAGCACCTTCCTGGAAAAGCAACACTCTTACCGCCAAAGTCACTCTGGATTTTAGGGGATTCAAGAGTCTTCAGGGGACATCCTTGGGCAGCTTTCAGCTTTGCTAACCTCTTTTTCCCTTCGCCCACCTGATTCTTGAATTGCCATTAAAATGACACCAGGCTTAGTCTCTGCCCTTATCTGCTGGGAATTACACCCAACGTTACTATTCTCTACGAAATTCTGAGGGTGAGATGCAGACCCTCCTGTGACATCCATTTATGGGAAGACATGTCAGTGCCCTGACCTGGGAAGGCCTTGCTTGATCACAAGACTTGCCTCGAGGGAGCTGAAGGGAACATTGCACAGCAGCTGGGCCATTAGCATAGCAACCCCCTTTCAAGGGTCACTAACCAAATTGTTCAGGGTCACGGCTCTGTCAGGGCTGACTGCTTTTAAATAAACAACACAGCTCTCCACTTATTTAGCATGGCTGATGGTAGATGCTTGACTGTTTGGTACTTCTTCAAAGAACTTTGACAACGATCTCTGTCTTTTTTAGCCAAAAGATTTTATCGAGGTTCAAATCTGGGCTTCCAGGTATAAGCTTTGTGATCTTATGCAAATTACCAAAACTTTCTAAGCTTCATATTCCTTTTCTATAGAATGGAGATAATAATATCTTTATTTTCTAAGATTATTACTACAATCAACAAAAATGACACGTATAATTTATTCATTCAACAAATATCTATTGAATGCACAGTATGAGCTGGGCACTGGAACAGGCATTTGGGATACAATATGGTCAAGACAGAGATCTAGCTTCATGAGGCTACCATGGGAGGTGTGGGAGGAGACAGCAAACAAAGACTCCATGGCTTGGCAGTGACTCATGCTGTGAGGAAGAATCAAGCAGGACCTGGAGAGGAAGCACCTTGGTGAAGAGATACTACGTTGTATAGGGTGGTTGGGAAGGTCTCATTGAGAAGGTGAGTAGAATTCTGGAGGAAGTAAGGGGATGAGTATGAGGATATGGGGGAAGAGCAGTGCAAAGGCCCTGAGGTGGGAGTGTGACTGAAAGGTCTGAGGAAGAGACAGAGGGCCATAGTGGCTAGAGTAGAGAAGGTGAAGGGAGAGGTCACCCTCTCCCATGGGAGGTCAGGTCAAAGTAGCAGGAGGGCCACATCATCAGGACCTGGTAGGACATTGAGAGGATGTTGGCTCTCCCTCTGAAGGAGGTGAGAAGCCAGAGGAGGATATTGAACAGAAGAGTAACATGATCCAATCTATGATTCAGAGAGTTCTTTCTGATGCTGTGTTAAGAATAGGTTGTGCTGAGCAACAAGTGAAACAGAAGGTCAGAGAGTTATTGGAATAATCCAGGCAGAGAATGTTGGTGGCTTGGATCAGGTGGTGGCAGAGGAAGTGGTGGGAATCAGTCATATTCTGGTGACATTTTGAAGGTAGTGCCATCCAGACTTGCAGGTGGGCTAGATGTGGAGGATCTAGAATGATGTCTGGATTTTTGGCCAGAGCAACTAGGAGGGTGGTGTTTTACACTTACCAAGGGGAGGTTTTAAGCAGGAACAGATTTGGAGTGAAAATTAAAAGTTTGGTTTGGGGAGAATTAAGTTTGAGATGCCAATTAGCCTTTCCTGTAGAGCAGTTGATGGAAGTACTTGGATATATGGGTCTTGAGTTCAGACTAGAGATCTAGGCTGTAGACTGAATGTGGGAGTCATGAGTATACAGAAGTGTTAAGTGCACTTAAAATCTCAAGACTGATGAGATGATCCAGCGAGTAACATAACAGGTGTGGACGTAACAGGGCTCTGTGTTCGCTCTTGGTACTTGTAAGAGACAGACACACTCTCAGGCCTGCAGTAATGGAGTAAAGGAAAGACTTATGTCTTTGGTCCTTTTAGACTTGAAGAGACCTGTCAGATATGCTGTGGCTGATTTACTGAAAGGAGAGAACAGCTGATGCTTAGATGATGGAGCTACACCCTCCCCCAAAACACTAATGACGTGAGATGCCATTTGAGATCAACACACAATGGATCAGCGTACAGGCCCACAAAACCATCCCAAAGAGGCGACATGGCTCCTGGCCAGCATTACCTCACTATGATAACCTGAGTCATCGCTATATAATGGAAGAAATTATCTATCACAATGGAAGATGGCAAAATGGAAACAGGAAAAGGAGAATCATGAAGATAGGGGTGGCCATGCACACCCCTAATTTGAGAAATCTAAGAATAAATAAGGTCAATGGGGATTAAAACTCACTTCTCACAGTGACGTTCACTGCCTCACTCTGGATGAGACCGTAGCTGTTGTCAGCTGCGCAGTAGTAGCTCCCTGCTTGGCTCTCCCTGATGTCAGGGATCTCCAGCTCTGCTCTCTGGGAACGCTGACTCTTCTTCCCCAGACTCTCCTCCATATCCTCTCTGTGCCAGGAGAACGTGATGTTCCCTGTGCCTTCAGCCACAGAGCAGACAAGGACCAGCGTCTCCCCTTCAACCACCAGATCCCCCTGGGGCTGGATCTCCAGGAGCACGTCAGACACGGGGATTCCTGTGTGAACATGAAGCAACAGGTGAGGGCATGATGGGAGGCGGGCAGGGCTAGGATGTTGCATAGGGTCACTTTTATGTGCTGGCATTATAGCCCGTAGACGGTGGATTTTGGACCTAGAGTATCACTAAATGTAACAAACTTCCCATCCTGGCACACAAGGCAGCGGGAGAGAAAACCTGACTCCCTGGAAAAGCATCTGGGTTTTGTCTCATGTCCTAGTTGTCAGTCTGAATTATTCTGAGGGATAGGTCATAGCAATGGCGGCTATCATCACACTGACCCAGACCACACCCATTTCCAGAAGTCCTGCTCTGGTAGCTGAGACAAGCTGGTACTTACTGCATTTATCTTTGTATGTACATATGTCCTTCTCTTCTGCTTCACACATCACAGCCACTCACGCTATTTGCTGCTATCGATTATGACCCACCTCTGGGGATGCTTGTCTTCCAAATCATTTGTCCTGAGATTTGACATCCTAGAATCTGTCAGTTCAGTAGCAGGGCACTTTGTTTTTTGTTTTTGGATATTTTCCCCCCCAATTCTTATATCTACCTACCTCCATGAATCACCTCTATCATTTCAAGGCAATAGAGTTTCAAAGAAAGACTGAGTTTTTAGAGAAACAGAGGTGGAAATGAAATCTTGTATTTCTTTTATTATAGTACCTCCCTTCTCAGTCTAAGCCTGGCCCCTGTCAGGATGACAAAATCCATCTGTATTGGGCAGTCCCTACGCGCACAGGGTCAGAAGGAGCAGTCAGGGAAGAAGCCACAGCCTGGCCCCGCCTGCCTGGCTCTCCGGCACTCACTCTGCACATGGATCTTGAGTGGGAGGCTGCGTTTGTGGACACTGCTGGTCACCGTCTCAGCACGACACCAGTAGGACCCTGAGTCCTCTCTCCAGATGGCTGCGATCTGGAGTTCCGGGGACCTGCTCCAGTTTGAGAGGAGGACCCCATTGTCTCTAAGGAAGACAAAGTGAAGCCGAGTGTCTGGTCGCTCTAGAGGAAGCTGTGTTTCACAGCTCAGGTTTACCGAATTCCCTTCTGTAGGCTGAGGGTCTGTGACTTTCACCTTTGGACGTGAAAACAGTTCTAGAGACAAGAAGTAAATCAAGTTCTGTGTGAGGGCTTTCAGAGCTCTGGGAGAGGCAGGCTTAGATTCTCAGTTTCAGCAAACTTCGGACACAGTAAGACCAACAAACCGATTGACCACTCTATCACATTTCCCCCCAAGGATTATTTTAAGTCAAATCATTCCACTTTCTCTGCCCCTTAGAGGACTTTAGCCTCGCATTTATCTAAAATTTTGATACGATATCAACTTACATAGATCCCCACTGATGTGCCCAATTCCCCTAACCCCACATTGGTAGGCAAAGTCCTATGACAGGAAGGGTTTACCTTGAATTTGAATATATCTGAGATTTGATTTTAATACATAAGCGTTTTCCAAGTATCCGATGCATTGGTAACAGCCACTGTTACTTAATCTTGCTTGTGGTATCAAAACATCTGTGCTTTTACTAGAGTTAGAAATAACTTTTCCATTCCAAATGTATCTCACAGCAGTCATTTTCTCTTTTCCCCTTTTCTGGCATCTCAAAACTAACTCGTCACCTTCAAACACAGAATATGGGGCCTGGAGGATGAAGTACCCTGGAAACCAAGCAGAGATAAGGCATTCATTAGGGCATTCCTTCCTCAGTGTACCTTGAATTACAAATTACAATTCTTCTCCAGGATTTAGTCTCCTGATTCAAGCTCACTTCCTTCCTTCCAAATCAGTGTGACCTGCTTCAGATATAATTTCTAAATAAATCCCAAACACATCTGTTTCATTATCCTGGGACAGATTCAAAGTATGAGGGTTCTAATACGGAGAGGAAAAGCTGAGAGGAGGTGTCTTCAAAAATCCCCCAAAATCTTCAATATCGTTGAATACAGAGAGGATCAACACCAACTTGTTCACCAAATCCTAGAGCAGGAGTCATCAAAGAGGTGGTTTTTGGAAAAATATACCAAGATGTATTACAGCACATTGGGGTGCAATATGCAGCAGGCTTATGGGTGCAGACACACATTCAGAGTTGAGGGACAGTGCATGTAATCCGCTAAGGAAACGCTCATGCTCGTCAGATTCTAATTAGAGGCTAGCTCCATTCTTTCTCACTGAAATGACTGCAGTGAATGCCTTCTTCTGCAGAACGTTGCCTGTGGAGGGATCCAAACGATGATCCCTGTGGACACAACTAGACACGAAGAGGTATGGGTGCAGGTTAGAAGAGCGGGGTAGAGAAGGGACAGAGTCTAGGACAGGTGGGGACATGAGACCTGGGGCTGGAGATTTCCCACCTCTGAACTCTTATTTTATGTCACTTTTCAGTTTCTATTTTGTACTCAGTACATTCAGGTTAAGTTCTCTCACAGGAGGCTGCAAAGTCCTAGAAGGCAGCTTCTAAGAGAGCTTCACAATTGAATCCCCTGAAGCGGACTGTGTGAAGGTGCAAGAATGTCTGTTGATTAATATCAGACACTTAAACTCTAATGTCAATAGTAATTTGAAAAACACTTGCAGACAATGACGGAGGATGAGAATTTGAAAGGAACAGAGATCGCAGTTTAGAGTAGAATGAAAAGACCTCAGTTCGTAGACACTCCAGGGAGCTAAGATGTACTAAAACTGAAACAGCAGGGCCCTGTGGGATCCTCCCTGGTACAAATCCTTTCCGTGTCCCCCATTTTTTTGTTCATTACAAAATCAAATGGCTTTGGATATTCTGACCACCTCCTAGAAGAGGACCCGGGCAGTGATTCACACTGAAAGCCTTACTTCTGTTCCAGATGAAGGTGGCAATATCACAGCATTCCTCCGAGATATGAGAAGTCAGATTCATGCGGTAGGTGACTCCAATGCCTACTCTGCTGAAGTCACGTTGAGAGTCTCTTAGAACAACTTACCCTTTTACACTAGAGGTCTTGAAAGAAGGCCATGGACTGACCCTCAAGAAAATGGGCAGACCCTCCTAAATTCCTCCATAACGACATCGAGCTCTTGTTGAGATGACAGGAATGTAGCCCCTGCTCACACCCTGATTGTTATCACCCTCTTATTCCCATTTTTCCTTAAAACCCCAGGACACTTCCCCCAAGGCAGGCTCACAGACTTTAAGGCATCAGCCTGCTGTGGGTCCCTTTGCCTGGCAAAGCTATAAAGCTGTTCTTTTCTATCCTCTCGAAACTCTGCCTCTGCCTCTCAATTCAGCTACTGGGGTACAGAGGCCAGTTTTCTGGCAACAAAACCAAAGGTTTAACTAATTCACCTTCCTTCTCACCTGGGTGAAAGATTAACTGCACGGGGTTACTCAGGAGTGAGCCGGGTGCCCGGCATCTGTACTCTCCAGAATCACGAACCTCAAGGATGTTTCCCATGGTTTCACTTGAATTTCTTCTCCTGGAGAACACATGGTACCACTCTACTCTCTCTGGTGCATAGAGGCGAAATCCATCGCACGTCAGATTCACTCTCTCTCCACGGAAGACAGGGGTCCATGGAGGCTGGAGGGAAATCACGGACTTCGATATAGGAACTGAGAAGAAGAGAAATGAGTTTCAGGCGGAAGCGCCTGCAGTCCCCACCACGGTGGTTTGCATGGGACAGACAGGAAGACATGGCTTCGGAGAATTTTCACAAGGCCCCCTGGCGGGGCAGTTGTTTCCCCAGGTTGCAGGTTCTCCAGCTGAGTTGACCTTACCCAGCAGTGGGGTGGCTGCTCTGTGGTCTACAGGAGCAGACTGGCCTTTCGGAGGCCAACCACAGCAGGATCTACTCAGCACGGAAGGTTAGTGATGGGAGGCTCACAAACCCCCTGACCTTTTCCCATGGGCCAGGTCCTCAAGTAGATGCCTCCTGGACTCCCTCCCCTCGGGGCTTTCCATATTACAGTCGCCTCTCTAAGACGGCCATGTATGTGGCATGACCTTGTGGTGGGGTGCAGATTGTAGATGGAAGGAGTGTAGGAATTTGAGGTCAATTATGCAGTGATGGAAAATGGCCCAAGTAGTACTTTGACCAACAAGAAGCAGGCAGGGGAGGGGCGAGCAGGCTGTTGTCTGAAGTGGAGACAATACTTAAAAAACTACAGTGAGTATGACTGCTGAGAAGTAAGTGCTTCTAACTCCCCAAAACTCAAAGATACTTTCAAGGAAAGAAAATGTGGATCTGGCATAAAATCAGGCCTTAAGATCTTTGAAACACTGATGGACAGAAGCTGGAGAATGTAAGGGTAAAGACAAATTAAAAGGAAGACATCTAATTCTCCCTGTTGAAAACAGAGGGAAGGACTCCGCCCTCTCTCTCTTTTCTTTCAGAGTTTCTTTCAAGTCTATGTAAATCTTTCTAACGGCTAAATAAGCCTCTAGCCCGCTTCACAACTCGGAAACATCTTTCTCAAGAAGGCACCATCTTTTTGAGATGCGGGCATTTAGGGAGACGCTCCCCTGGCTCTCATTATGATTTACCTCTGCTGGGCACCTAACTCTCATATGGAAAACTACCACCAGTCCTAAAGATGTGAGACGTTTGTTTCTCCTCTGGATAAAAGCCAATTACCGTGATAACCTGAGGATAAACTGTGTGCCACAGAAAGGGCTGTCAAGTCCTCCTGCCTGAGATCTAGTGACTGTTTATCTTGAAAACATGTATGTATTGGGCTGAATCTCCTTGGCTCTGTAAGAGAGATTCTTTCCTGTCTTTGCCGTCTGTTAGTGGATTGCCTGGGTGCCCAGTCTATTCTGGTTTAATGCTTATTCAGTATTAAAAGTGTTTTCTTTATTACCTTTGTGGAGAGGATTTCAGAGTTAAGAGACTGTGTTTTTAACTATATTTCCCCAACAAGAAACTGTTACTGCATTTCTTTGTTATCTGAGTGTTCATTTTCTAAGTTTTGTAGTTTCAAGGTTGTGAGGATTACTAACTGAAGGGTGAATACACCACCATGGCATAAAAATTATTTTGAGCTGGAGGCATTTGAGAGTAGGTTTTATTTTACTTTTTTTGATCTGAATTCCCTTATCTGCCTAAAAGCAAAGCCTCCTGAAAAGCTCAATTGTCATATATCATATCTCCAGGAACAAATAAATGATTAACTCTTATGGCAGGAGACTGGAAGTCAGCATCACCCCTAAATAGACATTGTCACAGAACTGTCATAGCTTAAAATCTAGTCTCTTAAGTGCCCATCTGTCTTTCCTATAGGTGATTTGTTTCCCAGTAAGTACCCTTTTCTGCTTCCCCTTTCCTTATCCAGATGTTATACAAGTCCCAAATTCTAACTGCCTCCTTGAGTCACTTTTTTTCTGTGTGTACTCCTGCAAGTTTTGAATAAAAATTTGTCTTTTCTCTTGCTAGTCTGGCTTTTGTCAGTTTAATTTGCAGACCCCCATTTTAAAACCTAAGAGGATAGAAAAAAATTTCTTCTTTGACATAATAAAATTACAAATTATCTACTGTTGGAAACATCTACTCAAACATCCTGACCTCTTTAATGCTACTATCTAGCCTGCTCAAAGATCAGTGCTTTGATAGGTTAATTTTTCATGATGCCTGAAGCTGCGGCAGCTACCATATACTAAATAAATAAATAAATAAATAAATAAATAAATAAATAAATAGATTCATGCTTTGTTCTACAAATTGTCTATGGTAATCTAAATTATGTGATGTAGAAAATAAAACAAATTATTTCTATTTGTATTTTTTTCCTAAAACAAAATCTCAATGTTGGGGGTATGCAATTTACTTTAAAATTGTAAGTGGAATCACTTTAATGTGTTTTTTTCTTAGTACCTTTTATACTCAGGTATGGAGGACTGTCAATATTCAAGAGCTTACGAGCAATTGCTGTTTTAAAGCTTGAGATTTTAAATGTTCTTAACTTTTTCTAGAAGAATTGCCCACATATGCCTTAGAATTATACCCAAATGTAATGGAAAAAGCCTGTTTTGGGGTAAAAACTGTAGAGTAGCATGAACGTGTATTTTAAATGAAGAAGCTAAATGTTCTGTCTGGGTATATGAATATAAGCAGCTTTCGGCAGGAAAGAGCTCTCTGCAGGAGGCCCCTTTTGTCCTGTCACTTTAGCAAAGCCATATCGTCACTACTTAAGCCAGGCGCCCCCAGGCTCTGCTCATCTCCAGCCCAATCACACCTTTCAAATCTTTTGATCACACAAAGCCTTGCCTCATCTGTTGGCTCTTTTCTTAGATCAAAGAAATAGAAATGAAGAATAAGTAATTAACAGATGACTGGGTCATCTCCCCAGCTTCCCCTTCAGTAATCTCATGAGCAAACTGTGTGAAGAAGTTCGCATCTAAAGAAAGATCACAGGGAGTTGACAGGACTGCAGTCGGAGATGGCAACAAATCTGTACTCTTATCTCAGGGGTCACCTGACATTACTCCCCCTTTTCCCCTTCGAAAACTTTCATGGCTAAGCAGAATCTTCAGAGTTGGTTTTGGGACAGGAGTCCACCTTCTCCCCAGGATGCCACCATTGTGGTTAAAGCTACCTTGCCTCTGGAGTGTTGACTTTTGAGGGATGAGCAGCCAGAACTGAGTTCAATAACATAAATATTCATGTGTCTCTGCAGACTTTTTTCTCTCTCTTTCTTTAGAGGTTTTTACAAATCTCCTATGTCCCCAGTGGGTATGGGGTTTTGTTTCTCTTGAAGAGAGTAAACATCTTCACTCTCCGTGTTTCTGGGAAGCACATGCAGTTAGAGAAATGGGGACTTGGGCAGCAGGTGTTGTACTGGAGGGAAGGGAAAACTTCCTTTGATATACGCAACTTCATTCCTCACTGGTCCAAGTAAGCTGCCCCTGCTGTGTGCAGGTGGTCCTATGGTCAGGAGAAGACACATCTTGTCAGAATCTTGGTGAGATTGGGACCAAGTCAGTGAGTTCTAAAATTAACCACACCTACCAGCTGACATAATACACTCTCTGTATTTCTCCATCCTAGAATGTTTAACAAAGTCTTGCCAAATTATAATCTCCTCCCAGTTAGGTAGAAATTTGTGGAAAGTGTTCTGTATCCACTGTAAGCAGCTTCTTGGGTAGAGTGGGCTTGAAGGTCTCTGCAGGGATTGCCAGAACACCTGGAGACAGCTCCCAATAGAAGGGTGAACTTTCTGCTGACCAGTAGGATAGGGGCTCAAAGTCATCATCATCATCTGAGCTTATTAACAGAAAAATGTCTACAAAGAATGCTGAAGTTTGGGATGAATTGGTTGCATACCCTTAGGGGCAATGTGTTGTTGAGCTAGAGACAGGAAATGTGGAGAAGTAGGCAAGTTGTTTGCACGTCAACCTCCCTTGTTGAAGTAATGGCTTATTTCTGTCTTTCCCCTCTCATAATTCTATGCATTCTGTCTGGTTGGCTAGGATCCCACATCAGACAGGGACAGCCCCTCTCCTTGAACTCCACGACATGGGACCCGGCCCCCTGACCAAGAGCATCCAGCACAATGGCAGGTTTGGGCTGAGAGTGTGACTCCCAAACTCTTAGAGTCAGAGTCTTAAGACATGTTTGCACTTGCCTGTAGTCCTCAGGAAAAGGACACAAGGGCAAGAAGTCCTCTTTTGACAAGGATTTGAGATAGAGGACGATTATTAGGATATCTAGAAAACATAAAAGAGAAAGGAAAGGAAAAGAGGAACTTACCAAGTGGTCCGCTCACTGGAGCTGCTGCGAGAGAGATAAGAGCCAGGCATCAGCACAAGGCACGGAGTCCCAAACCATTCCACCCTGAGAGCCCACCTTCCAGCCAAGAGGAGGAGAAACATGTCCATTTTCACTCATCCTGGAGAAGTAGGTAACACCATGGCCGAAAGCTCAGGCTGTAGACTTGGCAGAAACAGGTTTGGATTTTAGCTGTGTGACTCTGGGAAACTGCATAAAATCTCCAAGGCTCAGTTTCCTCATCTGTAAAATGGGGACCCCATGGTCTTGTTTTAATGAGTTAAATTAGTAAGTCTTCAATTAAGAGCCATGTGATTATTTTTTGGCATGTCTGTGGCTGTCGCTGGGGCTCGGCTTCACTGTCTTCTTGCCTGGACTGTTACTCTTTCTCTTCAGCACAAAGCAAAGTCAAGTCACACCCATGCATTAAAACCCAGATGAAATCCCACCTCCTCCGTGAAGCCTTCCCAGATGCCTCTAGGTTGCAGCATCCTCAGTTTTCTTTTGACTCAGAACATTAACCACCACAGCTCATTTGAAATTCATAATTAGACATGGAGCAAGGGGCAATGGTTAAAAGCAAAGCTCCTGCGTCAGATTATGGGTTTGAACCCTGCTCTGCCACCGTACTACTTCCTGAAACTTAAGGTAAGAGAACAACTCTGTGCCTTAGTTTCCTTATCTGTAAAACAGGATTTATAGCAGTTTCAGCTCATTGATTGTTAGAGGATTAGACACATTAGCACTTGGGGTAGTCTCAGAAGACTGCCTGACATTGGGCTCAGCAAGAATTAAGTATTTTCAGCAAGAATTAACTATCATCACACATTATCCTGTGATCTATTGTGTAATATTTTTCTTGTATTGCCAAGTCAAATGTTCTTGCATTTGTACTTTGGTTTCCTTATCAGCGTCAGTTCTTGAGGGCAGAAGCCGTGTCCTCCATGTCCCTGTGTCCTCTGCAGTGCCCAGCACTGTGCTGTGCTCCATATGACCATTCAGTCACTATTCACTGAGTTCCCATAATGTGCCAGTCACACTAATAACTCTTCCCTTAATCAGAGTCTAGAGATATAGCTAAGAACAAGACAGACACGTTTCATAAAATTCAGTCCACAAATCACTGCCTGGTCTTTATTTCCCTAGCTTGACCTACTAGGAAACCAGTTCCTCCTTTGGACAAATATTGACGAGCAGTACAGAATTCGGGGGGAAAATCAAAGGAAAACCATCATATTTCTTCTCTTCTCATGCTCTTGGCAAACAGCAGAGCAGGTTTGATCTTAGAACACAGAGAAAGAAGTAACCATTCTTGGCAGAAGACCATTCTATAACAGCTCACAGTCAGAACATGGTCCTTTCACAATGGACTCAGTTCATCTTTTACTCCTGGTCTTCATGATCTGTAATTAGGGAGGTAACCAAATCTAATTGTAGTTTTTTACATGGAAAAATAAGTCTACTTTGGGGGAAGGAGAAGTAGGAGGCGTTTTTCATAGGCAATTAAAAGCAAATGCAGAACACATTTTTGGAAATAAAAATTTTTCCCCTCATGCCATTAAATCAGTGTCTTCCCCCTTTGTTCATTTTCTGCTGTTCTAAACGGGAATAAAATCCATCTGTTCCGCAGCCCAGAGGAAAGATCTTTTGCCCGTGGAGAGGCTCAGGTTTCTCAGGGAGCAGAGGCTTCCCCTCCCCACCACTTACCGAGGACCAGCAAGGATGCCCACAGTAGCATGGAAGCCTGCTCTGGGATCCTGAAGAGGAGCAGCTCTCAGGAGATGGGTCAGTTCCCGGAGCTGGGGAGTGAGTTCAACAAGGTGCTTCTCTGAGTATAGCTGGCTGCGATAATGAAGTGAAAGGGGGAAGTGGAGGAATATCTTAAAACACCAAACAGCATGTTACCCGCTTGAGAGAATCTCAGTGGCAAAAGTCAATATTCTATCAAAGTATTTAAGTGCTGCTATGACATCTTGGTATGAATAGCTTCTCAAGGCTCTAGCTGTCACAGTTTCAGAACCCTCCAGCCTCTGTTTTCCAAGGAAGGTGCAACTTATTCTCTCTGCTACCAGATGTCAGGTAAGACTGCAGTGCTGCTGAGATTCGCATAATCCAAGGATGTGCCTAAATCACTCCAGAGTTGGAAAACTTCTCATTCGGTGCAGAAATGGCCTCCTCCGACCCCTGACAGCCTCTGCTGGACCACGTCCATCTGATCATGTACATATGATGAAGTATCTGAATCATAAGACAACTTGTATCTTGTCTGACATATATGAAACTGTCCTGATTCATTTGTCTCAGAGGAAGCTACAAACTCTGATCTGAGTAGGATGCAAACTAAACAATTTTTTAAAACACTTTTTTATTCAGTTACACTCAGTTTACAGTGTTGTGTCAAATTCCAGTGTAGAGCACCATTTTTCAACTATACATGAACATACATGTATTCATTGTCACATTCTTTCTCACTGTGAGCTACACAAGATCTTGTATATATGTCCCTGTGCTATACAGGATAATCTCGTTTATCTATTCTACATATGCCTGTCAATATCTACAAATTTCAAACTCCCAGTCTGCCCCTTCCCATCCCCCTCCCAAAACTAAACAATTCATTACAGCCCCATCACTCTCTTCCTGGAGGATGGACTGTGAAATTTTTAACTTAACGTCCTAGAATATAAAATTTGCTATAGGAATGTCTCAACAAGTACATATTGATTATATGGCTGTATGTTAGGCATGGTGCCAGGTGATGGGAGCATAGAGCTAAGCAAGACTCGATAAGCTTTTGAACTAGTGGGAAGACAGAAAAGCCAATAGGGAGTTAAATACAGAGTGGAACGTGTTCCGATAGTTCAATAGGAGGAAACTCTGACCCATTTCTGGGGAATCAGGAGAGGCTTCCCAGTGGAAGTAATATCCAAGTTGAAGGGTATTATTCTGTGACTGAGAGATAAGCGTGGACGAAAGTGGAAGGCAGTCACCATCACCGTTATCATCACAGGCATGATGTTTGCCAGGTTTCTTCAGGGCAAAGTTACCATTTGTCCCTTTCCATACTCTATCGTTTGGAAGCAAGTCACCAAGTCCACCCCACACTCAGGAGGTGGGGCTGGGAGGGGGTTAAGTTCCAGCTTCTTAAGGAAAGTTTTTCTTTTCTTCTCCATTTATTTATTTGTTTGTCTGTGTATTCATTCATTCAATCAATCTTTGTTTATAACACTATGGAATCATCTATTTATTTTATAATTTAGGTAATAATCTAATGTTACTTTATTTGTTTCATCACTTAAAATGTTTCAGCTTTGGCCATTGGGAGCTCTTTCAGTTTAGCCTCTATTTCCCTTTGACATGCCCTCATCCTTTTGTTTGTTTGTTTGTTTCTTTTGAGCACTTCCTGACTCTCTAACACTACAAGATGCTCTAGTGCCCCAGCTCTGGAATTTGCTATTTCTCCAAGGAGCCCTGATTCCTTTCAATGAAGAAGAAATTTAGAAGCCAAAATCTGGATGTTGGGGATGTTCTTACTAGTGGGGAAAAAAGTACGTATTTTAAGGTAAGTGATAGAGTGTCTGTGATCTTGAGAATGTTTTATGAGTGGAAAAATACTGGGCAGGTAAATTAGTGGTTCTTGTTTTAATAGCTTCTGCTTTAAAACCAGTAGCTAAGGTTTCTATAGCCTTAATCTGGAGCCTGATTTGTTAGTGAAGGAGGAATAACTCCTTAGAATAATCAACTTTGAACTTCAAAGAAAAGGCAGTGAATCAGCTGTCTGGAAGTATTATTTTGTTTTCCCTGCAAAAAAAACCAGGAATATTTCTAACCTCCAACAGCAAAAGATGTTGCCATTGGTTTTAGAGATTTTCTGAGATGCTTGCTTATTCTAAGTAGGGGTTCCTCCATCTTCATGAACATACAGATCTTTTTGCTCAAAAACTCCAAATGAGAACAGAAGCACAGGTCCTTAGTGCCCTCTAGCCCAGATTCACAGACACATGGGTGTGGCAAAGGGTGTGGAATGAACTGCAGATGTGAAATCTAAGGTCTGGCTATGAGTTTGCTCCATCACTTACAAGGTACACAGGTCAAGGCAGATCCACTTTGCTGCTCTGAGACTTATTTCTTTTTTAAGTATCAAAACCTTCATTTTTTTCTACATTTTTGTTTTGAAAAATTTTAAACATTTAGAAAAATAGTAAAAATAACACAATGAAAAATAATACAATGAGTGTACTCTTCACATAGTTTCATCAGTTATTAAAATTTTACCACATTTGCTTATTTTCTTTCAGAGGGATGATAAAGGTATCACTGTGTGTGGGATGTGTAAGAAGCTTGGACATGCAGGCTGATTTGTCCACATGGATGGTGCTGTCGGGTAGAGCAGGGGGCAGGAGAGAAGGAGAAAGTTGCATGGTTGGGACCTGTGACCAGAGCTTGCATTTCTTATGATGCTGTGATCCAGCACGGAATTCCAAAGATACAAGAATGTTATATTTGAACTTAGACTACCAGGTGATTATAAAGGTATATTTGTCAAAGTAGGAAGAGAAATCATATTAGTTTACTAGATTGATTTATAATTTTTAAACCTCCAGATATATACAAGGAAGGCCTCCATTTGTACTCTTGTCTTGAACCCTGCAAATGTTGAAGAGGCACATTTATTTGGAAGGGGAAGTGAGATACTGCTTTTCCACTGATTTTGTTATATGTAGAAATTGAATTTTGTACAACTTCACTTCCAGTGGCCAAAGCATTTCGAAAAAGAATCATCAAAATAAAAATTTTAAAACCATAACTTTTTAGCTAGATTTTGTAATTTTCCAAATCAGGCAAGTCACTGGGAGGCTGTAGATTAAAGAATTTAAAATTTAGATATGAAAGTAAAATCACCCATCACTGGTAAACAGCATTAAACTATTCATTTGGTTCTATAACTACCCATTTTTAGCTGGGAATGCACATCTCAAAAACTTTGATAGACAGGAGGCTATTCTAGAGAGGTATATTTTTAAAAAAATTACATGGGAGGGTGCTCTCTACTTTATGGGAGTCTGGCAAGTTTACATTTTACTGATTTACCCTGTTTTAATTGCTTTTCAAAGATTGGTGCCCTTGGCATCAGTTTTAACCTGACTTAGCCTATTTCAAGGGATGTGAATTCAAAGCTTATGGGAGCTGGGCAGGCAATGTAGAGTGAAGAAAGTGAGGTGTGAGGAAAAACCAACTGCCATAATGCAATAAAAGTTTAATTATTTTACCAAACAATTGGATATGTATGTAACATAATACAAGCATGTGTGACATTGGAGATTACACTTTAAATCCAAGTTTGAAAAATACAGCTTGGAATGCAGACATCATTAATTATTTTTTTCTTTCATTATTTATTATTTCTTAACTGGAACTAGAAACCTGGCATTTTTAATTCTGCATCAAGAAATCAGTATCAGAATTTATATTTCATATTGTATGTGCAACATAACATCCAGTTTTTTTTTTAACATCCAGTTTTATAAATTTGAAACCTTCGGATCGTTTTATCTACTAAAAAGGCCACATATTTAATCTGATCTTTGATGGGGAGCCGAGGGCGATGACATGGACAAGTTATTTTCTTTCAGTTCTCTTTGGTGCCCTGTCTCAAGTAAGCCACCTAAAAGTCATGCAAAGATGACCAACATCCTCTGCATCTTACTCATCAAGTAACTAACCCCTCTGTTCTTACAGTCTCAGGAATTTATCCAGCTCAGAGTTTTAATTGCTGAGTTCAAGATGCATTCTTTTAGCATAGAGTGATTTCTCATGAAGGATGTGGTGACAGGATTAAGTTCCCTATCACTGCAAAACATTGCCATCTTGAATTTACATTTCGTAACAAGTTCAACATCAGTACTGACTACTGGAAGTGCACATTTATATTTTCCTTGCTAATTATGTCCAGGCTATAAACATTTCAAGACTTGTGGTAGATGCAAAAAGGGACCACAAATTCTTCCCCACTCTGCACCTGTGACCTTATAACGTGACGCTGTAGCCTCTCTCATAAAAAAGAGGGAATCTATTTCTTTACCTCTTGAATATGGTCTGCCCTTGCACCTTCTTTTGGCCAACAAAGAGTGGCAGCAGCAATGATGTGAAAGTTCTGAATGTCTCAAGAGGTTTTGCCTGCTTCTGCCTTCACTGCTTCCCCATAAACCAGGCAGCCCAAACTCAACTATTAGCTGACAGCAGAAATGTACAAGTGAGTCCAGTCAGTAACAGTTCAGCACTGCCCAGGACAGAGCAGCTGTCGAGATAAACCCAAGCCATGTTAACACACGGCCAAGTCAGAAGAGAAACAAAAGGATGTTGACTTAAGCCATTAAGTTTTAGGATGGTTTGCTACACAGAGTTACTATCTGATATGACTTTTCTTAATGCACAATTAGCATCAATACCAGAGGTTTTAGTCCCATCCCAATTCTTAATGATATTGAAAGAAATACAGTTATTCCAGGGGGTAGCATATATATTTATATTTTTATAGACTGCTCTAGGAAACACCATGAATTAGTTAAAACTTTCACTCACTTAGCCTTTCAGCTCCTAAACCACATTTTCAACTTCCCAGACTTGTTTGCCAATGCTTGATTCTCTTCAGGAAACATGATATTTTTGCCCTCAGTTGACATTCTTTTATAGATTTACTCTCTGTGAAAGTTTTTCTACTTGGAAAACTTTTTGTTTTTCACTGAGCATGTAACTACATTTCATAGTGGTAACATTTAATTTATGAATACTAAAACGAAGCCCTCTTTAAAGTTCAGTTCTTTATTTTTTAGTTCATTAAGTTCTTCAA